GGCCAGGCATTGCTGTTAGTCTACAAGCTGCTCCCCAGTCGCCCTCCGGGCTGCCTGTGTGGCAGCTGAGTCCACCCGCCTTGTCCTGCTGGCAGCCAGTCAGCCAAGGGCCTCTTCTGGCTCTGACCTGTATCTTCTGAGGAAATGACTCCAGGCAGCCAGAGGGTCTTGTCCCCTGAGGTGTCCTGGAGACCAGTACTACCCCGTTTTCCTTTAAAGTATTCCAAGCTTCTTGTCCAGTTTTGTTTTTTTATTGCAGCGGAGACAGGTTACAATGAAAATTTGTTGACATGCTTACTTCTTGTTATTAAGTGAGGTATATGAAAATACAAATTACATACAGTAAAATTCACCCTTTTTTAGTATAAAGTTCTATGAGTTTTGAAAAACCAGCACAAAATAAAGACGTAGAATTTTTCATTGCTTTGAAAAAGTTCCCCAGGGCGCCTTGCCTCCCCCCTTCCCAGACCTTGGAAACCACGGATGCGATTTCTGTACCTACAGTTTTGCCCTTTCAGAATATCGTATAAATGGGAAGCATTCGAGATCTTGCTGCCCACATATGTCATCAGTTTGGCTCAAATAAACTTATAAATATTTATTCTCTGTGGGTTTGGATGTTTCTTACCCTCAACAGCGTAAGTTGGAAAGGGCACTGTGATGAAGTTGACAAAAGGGTGCAAATGTAAACGTGGTTGCAAAAGACTTCTTTAAGGAAATTATATTTAAGCTGAGATGTAATGCATGAAAAGGGCCACGGGCCCCATAATGGCAAAAAGAAAATCAGCTACAGAGGCCCTGAGCAGAAGCTAAATAAGGGCGCAGTGGGCAACAACTGAATACAGAGACAGATGTGAGGAGTGAGTAATCCTCTATTTAAGCAGACATTGAAGAGATTTGCAGAAATGTAACCAATACCACTACATTTTGGTTTTCATTGAAAATATAGTTCTTTTTCAATAAAAATATGTAATGGGTTTTTAAAAAAAAGAATATCACAGAAATGGTCTCAAAATGTGTGTGGCTTTTGGGGTCTGGCTTCTTTCACTTAACATGATGCTTGCTCGCTCTTCTTTCTTTCCACCCTCCCTCCCCCCTCTCTCTTTCTTTCTTTCAAAATATTTTTAGGTTTACAAAAATGTTGCAAATACAGTACGCAGAGTTCCCGTATACTGTCTCCCCAGTTTCCCTGAGGGAAATATCTGACATAGTTACAGTCCAGTGATCTGGCCTAGGACGATGACCTTGACACAGCACTATTACCTGATTTTCAGACTTCAGTCACATTTTGCCGCTTCTCTCACTAATGATCCTTTTCATGTCTCGAATCCAGTCTAGGGTATCACATTGCAGTTAGTTGTCCTGTCTCTTTAGTCTCCAACCTGGGATAAGTCCCCAGTCTTTATATTTCATAACCTTGATAACCTTTTTGAAAAGTATGGCCAGTTTTGCTTTAGAGTGCCCCCTCAACAGGGGTTTGTCCGATGTTTCCTTATAATTAAAGTGAGCTAATGGTGAAAAAATACAATGCAAGTGATGTCTTGCCCTCCTCATTGCATCCTGTCAGGAGGTACATGAAGTCAGTGTGTCTTATTACTGGGGATTGACTTTGACTGCTTGGGTAAGGTAGTGTGTGCCAGGTTTTTCCACTGCAGGTTACTGTTGCATAATACGTTAAAAATTCATCCATGTTGTTTTACATATTAGCAATTGGTTCTTTTATTTCCTAACAGTATTTTATTGTATGCATGGACCACAATTTGTTTCCCCATTTATAAGTTGATGGACATTTGATTTGCTTCCAGTTTTTGGCCTAGCACTATCTCTTAGACCTTGGTGGTCTCCTGTTGACCATAAATAATTTCACAGAACACCAACATCAGACAAGGCTACCCTGTGACCATGGTGAATTGGGACAAAAATAAGACAGCTCCATAATGTCTAAACCTAGACAAAAACAAGAACATGTCTAAAACAAAAATGACAAGACATCCTCCTATCCTGGCTGATACCAGGGCCTGCTGTACTGACTAATCACAGCTATAGCCTCACTTCACTCCTTTCACCTTTAGATAAGGTTCACTAAAATATACAATCAAGGTATCCTGTTTCCCAACAGCATCCAATCCAGAATAAAGCCTCACTTCTTTGAACCCTCCACAACCCACAACCTTAGTAAACACAAGCCCAAATCCTATAAGAAATCCTTTCAAACCCTGTTACTGAGACACCCTGCAGTTCTTCATGGTCGCTTCTCTCTCCTTGCAACTTGCTCAGCTACAAGCATGTTCCTGGTCTTTCTCTGCAGAGCATTGACAATGCCAACAATATATAAACACATATACTGAAAATCCTGCTTCCACTCTTGTCTCCATACATCCTATTTCTCATCCCACCCCCAATTTTTTGTTTTGTTTACTAATTTCTTGGGAATTCTATTTTTAAAAAATGGAAATAAGTACTATGGTATATATTCATATCCCCTTCCCTTTCTCTCACACACCACCATTTGCACCTGACTTTTCCCCCACAACATTATATTTGGGAGACCTCTATCAGATTAGAGAGAATATTTTTATTCTGTTTTGTTTTTTTTTAAAACATGTGAAGCCTGAATATTGGAATGATTTATAGGATTAAATAATCTGATTTACATTAACAGGTTTTTGAGCCTCATATTCCAGACACTTATTTCTAACCTCTGTTACTAGCTTCTGCTCTGCTGATACCAACACTCACTTCTAAAGCCAGTAAGTTCTGTGCTTATAAATACTGAATCAACCAGCGAATCACATTTAATTAGACTTTGTTCACTTGGGTTCTTAAAAATTGGAGTAAAATACACATAAAATTTAGCACCTTAACCATTGTTAAGGGTACAGTTCAGTTGTGTTAAGTACATTCACATTGTGCAACCCATCTCCAGAACTCTTTATCTTGCAAAACTGAAACCCTATACCCATTTTTTGGTTTTAAAACTATTTTCTAGTTTACATACAGTAAAATTAACCGTTTTTTAGTGTTGAGTTTTATGGGTTTTGACAGGCACAATCATGTAGCTACCACCATAGTCAAGATATAGAACAATTCCATTACCTTAAAAAACCCTCATTGCCCTTTGTGTATTCACTCTTCCCTGCTCAGGCAACTGCTGATACGTTTTCTGTCCCCATAGTTTTGTCTAGTCTAGAAAGTCATGTAAGTAGAATCATACATACATTCTTTTATATAGTAGCCATGTTGCATATTGTGAATGTTCCATTGTTTATTGAGCTCATCTCCTGCAGATGGACATTTAGGTTGTTTCTAGTTGCTTGCTGTTAATCACAATGGTCTAAAGAACAACCCTGTAGATATGTCATTTTGGATGTATGTAAATCTGACTGTTGTAAAAATGTCTAGACTTAGGATTCCTAGGTCAAAAGGAAAATGCATTTATAATTTTGATAGGTAGTTCTCCAAAACGGATTGTAAAGTTTTGGAAAATATGTTATATTTCTATTTTTCCTATATCCACAGACCATTAATCCTGAATTCTTCCAACAGTTGGACCTGCTAGATAGAAATCATCTCTGCCAATTACTATTTTGATGGCATTGATCCAAATATTACCTTTCTCTGTGTCTCCTTTTATAAAATTTCTTAGGAATAGATTAAAGGTTTACTAAATGTGCTTTAAGACGCAAGTTTCTTTGACATGATATCATCTTTATTGTTTGTTGTCATAATATCTTTTCTGCTTACTTCAGTTCTCAGAACTTACATTCTCATAGAAACAGTATTTTAACCAAAAATTAAGAGGCCAAAGGTTTTCACACATTTTAAAAAGCAGCTGAACCTGTTTTTCAAATGAATTCTCACATCTACCCCTTCTCAAGCCTCTAAGGCAGGTTCTCAAACTTGAGCATTCATCAGAATCACCTAGACACAGATGTAGGCCCCACTCCCAAAGTGTCTGATTCATGGGCCTGGGGTGGAGCCCAAGACTTTGCATTTCTAACAAGATCTCAGGTGATGCTCTTGCTGCTGGGTTGGGGACCATACATGAAAACCGCTGCTTCAGGGCACCTAGGTGCTCTTGAGAACAAATTGAAAACAGCTGACTACCATGAAGACCTGACACTAAAAATTTTTGTTAAGGGCTTTCTTACATAAATATATTTGTGAAATACAAATATTTTCTGATTGTTTCTTTGTTTTTGTGATTTTTCTAAAGCCTATCTCAAGAATTAGTGCTATAAAGAAAACCTGATGAGACCTTTCCAGATTGTTCCGAGCCGATTAATTTCCCAACTGTATTGTGGACTGAAGTCTCCAGCTGCCACAGGAACCAAGATTTGCCTAACAATGGCTCGTCCAAGTTCAAGTAGGTCTTTCTTAGCCTGCCATCTCCTCATCTCCAATGGAATTTGAAGTACCTGAAAGTTCCTACACTTTGAGGGGAATGTTTATATTGAAGTGGGTGCTGGGCAAGATTTTGGAGAAGGCCACTCTGTTCTTTTCTCCTTAAGCAAGCCCCTTCCAGGACAGGTCAGAGATGATCTCTTAATAGTTAAGGTAAGTCCATTTAAGACTTTGTTGGTTCTCCCAAAATATTTGCACTTAAGCCTTTCACACATGATTTGTATTCTAAACTCTTTACCTCTCCACAGGGGAGAAAAGTTGATGATTTTCCTACAGGGTAATATGGGATTAAATTTTTTACTGGACAGAAATTATTTGTATCTCTAACAGAACACGGGTTTGGCTGCTTGCTGCAATGAAAGCCAAATTCATAACAAAGGTGCTGATGAGAAGGAAGGAGGTTTATTCAACTGCCAGTAACCTGAAAAGATGGGGGACACTCATCCCAAAGATCATCTTAACATCTCAGTGCAGGCAGAGGTTTTTATCAGGAGAGAGAGGGAGAGCAGAACAAAGAAATCAGGGGGAGGTGGGGTTTGAAGTTCTCTATGTGTAAGTCAGCACAATCCATTCCGATGATTATCTTGAAACTGGTCAAGCAGAGGTCCAGTTTTTAATGGTTGAGAGTAAACAGGCCTCCCAAAGCCAGAATGTCTGGTTGCTGGAGTCAGCCTCCTTCCCTGAAGCTAGTTCCTGTAATATGCTCAAAAGGCTGTTAACAATTTGTCGTTTATGGCAAGCATGACAAACCAGGCCCTTGTTTTAAGGCATACATTCTCTTCCCTGATTTGGGGAGAAGAATTGTTCATTACATGTTATTTAATCAAGAAGATTCTTTTGTTGATTAGCATAAGATTTCATATATCCTCTGTAAATTTTTACTGACAAAAACCTACAAGTTAACATATCTGGGCCCTTACTCAATAGTGGGTATAGAGTCTAACAGATTTATATAATAAATGAGCCTTAGGTGGGCCTGTTAAACAATGTGGCATTGAAAGGCCAAGCTGAACTCTTTTTGCCTCATTTTCAACTTTTGGATAACTTTTTCTAATACTGTGAGTCTGTTGAATTGTAATAATGCCTCCTTCCATTTTGCCCAATCTCAGGAACAATAAAGAACCCAAAGAACTCAGTTCCACTCAGCTGTTCAGCCCCTTGGTGTTCACAGCTGTGCAGGACAGGCTGCTAAAGGCTGTGGCAGGACCCAGAAGCAGGACCAAAAGTGGGCCATCTGGGTCTGAAACTGCAAAACATGCTGGTGTGTTTTCCTTTAGCAGTTAGCAAATGCCTTCTATAATAAGATTTCACACAACTTTAACATTATTATATCTTATATCCTGTCTTCTAAGAACCAAATCCGAGTTGACTTTTTTCTCCTTTTTAAAAAAATTTATCTTTACTGTTGAAAGTATTACAGATATTCCTGTGAGCTGACTTTTTTATCTGTTTCTAGAAGTTGCTTAAAGTGGTACCTTAATAGAAGTCACTCTGACCTGGGAACCTGTTCATCAGAAGGATGATAGACTTTACATTTGAGGTAGAAAACATCTTTAGAGCAGGAGAAAGTTTTATGGGTAAACTTTAAGTATGGTTGTAGGGTTCAACCCAGGAGTCATATAAATAGTTCCAAGATGTAGTTAGCATCTTGTTCTTTCAGGGGATAGATTGCACTACAAACTCTGATCCACTCAGACTGGGTTTTTTTTTAAATCTTCCTGTTTGGACAGCTTTAGCAGGCCTTGTTTTTACACCAGTCCTTTTCTGAAAGGGATGTGAGGGTAGGCAAAGTGTTAGCATGGATGACAGGTAGTTGGGCTGGTTATACCTAAAGGCAACAATGTGCCTGAACCGTCTTCATTCCTTGGAGCCTTGCTGCCAGAAAAGTGATCTCAGAGAGCTCCAGGGATGTGGCCGGAAGGGAGCTGGAGCCTCTGCTTCTTTATTTCTGAGAGTCTGCTTCAACTCTCTGTTCATTTTTACCAGTAGTCAGAGAAGAAAGGAAAGGGAGGGGAGATGGAGCCTTTTTTGAAAGTTTCTGTCCTGCATGGGCCATAGAAGTGTTCTGCGCTTAGGATGGTGAGGAAGTGGTATCCTTGCCTAGAGGGAGTCAATAAATATGAGAAACTTAGGATCCTCCTTACCAGCTTGGGGAACAAAATGAAGTCACAGTCCCTTTAATAATCATGTTGATTATCTCTGAGCCCCCACCCCACTATCTTTCTTCCTTTCCTCCATCCTGTCTGTCACCAGCTCCATTTCTTAGAGTGTGTTCATTCAGCCCAAGGGCTAACCTCGGATGCCGTTGCCTCCAGCGGGGAAGACCAGAAAGCCTGCTCCATCAGCTGTGGATCTCAATTCCACTTTTGCCAAATTTTTCAGTGATTTGGCACGGGTTGGCCACTCCTAGAAGATGCCTGCTTAGTGGCCCAGGCCAGCCCCAGGCAATGCTGGTCTGGCTCTTGTTTCTCCAGGTGGAGGGCAGAGAGGGAATCTCTCTTCTCCCTGAAGCTTATGTTCAGCTCTGTGTGGCTTCCACCTGACCTGCTGGGGCCACAGCACTTACTTACCCCTCACACGAGGGCCTGCAGGGCCACAGTGTCTGGGAGAGAAGGATGTTGCTCTCAGCTGTGTGCTGGGCCCTGACCTAATCTCTGCCACCCAAGACACAGTGGCACTTCCAAGTCTGGCTCCTTGTTCTTATCCTGGGAAGAGGACATTTGTTTTAAGGGCAAGCTCTACCTTGTGATCCATGTAAAGTGCTTGGCTCAGAGCCTGGGGTGCTGTGAGCCCTCACTAAGTGATGGCTGCTGCCCCTGTTGGTCTGAGACCAGGAGAGAATGCCCAGAGGTGCAGAACGAGGCCTTTGATCTGGAGGGTGAGCCATGGTCTGTGACCCCGATTACCTGCTGCCACATATTCTCTGTGTTCAATTCCCTTTTGTTACCCCAAGTCTCTGATGATGTTTTGTTGAAAAGTCCAACTCTTGTTTGAGCTGTAAAGGGGAAAGTTACGTGTCCAGGTTTAGGGCCCAGCATTTGTTCACAGGGGAGGGGCCCTTCTTCTCACCCTTGGTAGCAATGCTGAGAGAAGCTAGAATTAGCAAGATCTGCAAAGGGAAGACAACTTGGGCAGGAAGGGAAGGCTTTGGGGTCCAGTGGGCCTAAGATCAGTCCACACACACACACACACACACACACACACAGACACAAGCTTGTCTTCACTTTCATGAAGGAAGTTGCATTCCCATCCATTAATCTTTATCTCAGGCCATCAGATTGCCAAGGGAGCTCAGGATAGCAGAAGTCAGTGATTCACAAAAGATCACAGAAATGGATGGAGGCGGAGCTGAGATTCAGAGCCAGTGCTGTGTTCCTGAAGGCCCTGCTTCTTTCTTAGGATGTTGTACATTCACGCATCAAGGGCATGGGTGGCATCTTCATGGTACAGGAATGATTTTTATTTGGGTATATAAAAGTACAGTTTCACTCAAGGTCAAGTTTCAAAATACAGGTACCTCTGCTTTCCAAAGTTTGCTCTGCACCACTTGGCAATTACAAAAAACCTACATTAGGATCTGTTTTTGCTAACCAAAAGAAATCCGAAGAGGATTTTTGCATTTACGAAAAAAGATGAAAAACAAAAATAGCATTCAGCATTTGTTTTGCAGCGAGATACAGAGACAGCGCACACACGAGCAGCGAGAGCGGCCCCCAAGCTCCTCTAGGAACTACGTTCAGCATCAAGCACCATAGCTTTGAACTGTACCTCTGAACATCCATTAGTTTGTGCATCCGTTAGCCAAATGTTTCCTAAGGCAGCTGCTTCTTCGCTTTATGCAAGGTTTCATAGAAACACTCTACTTTCAGAGAGCAGGGGAAACCTAGGCAGACGATTGACGTGGGATATGAGTATCCAAATGGTGCACTGGCTTGACAAAGATTTTATTCTCTCTTTAGATATGGCCGATTTTCGGAAGCTTTTTGCAAAAGCAAAGCACATAGTCATCATTTCAGGGGCTGGCATTAGTGCTGAAAGTGGGATCCCGACTTTCAGAGGAGCCGGAGGTTACTGGAGAAAGTGGCAAGCTCAGGTTGGTGGTGTTTCCAGAATATTACGAGGCTCTTCTGAATGAAGCCCTAACAGAGTTGGAACCTACTGAGGCCTGACCCAGAAGGCAAAGTTTTGAAACTATGATTCTCGTCCTGTCCATTTTGGTGTTAACACAATGTCCATATGATTAAGATCTGAGGTGTAAGCAAAGCAGCCACTGTCCTTACTTTCTAGGTATGTATAGATTGCATTTATTTAGAGAGCAATTAGACTTCTTCTAGAAATTAAAGTAGAATCAGAAAACGTTGATTAGCATAATAATTCATTACCATAGATATTGAAATTAAGTATTACACATTTTAAAAGTTTCTGTGAACATTTCATATTAAAACCGAAGTTGAAGTATTGAAGGCCTAGGGCTTGACGTTCAAAACTTTATATGAAGGCTATTAGTATGTAAGTTCTTTGGGGGCGTGGATTTTTTTTTAATTGATTTTTTTATGGAGGTATATTGTCTATACAATAGCATTCACCAATTTTAAGTGTACAATTCAATGACTTTTAACAGATGATATGTATTGTAGCCGCCACCATGATCATATGTGGAACATTTCTGTGCCCTGGATTATTCCCTCGGGGCCCTTTGCGTCAGTCCCCTCCCCAAGAAATCCCTGAGTTCGAGGGCAGGGAATTGTCTGTTTTAATTCATTGCTCCACCCTCAGCTCCCCAAACTCTGGGACAATTTGAGTGTTTAACAGATTTTTGTTTGTTGAATGAAGGTAATCATAAATAATAACTTCATATATGACCTCTAAATGTAGTTAGGTGACTTCTTGTTGAGTGAAGGGTTAACAAACCTGCCCTTCTTTCCTATATTAAAGGTCTCAGGATCACAGATGTTTAGGATGTTTTGTTACCTCTCCACTGCCCTCCAGGCGACGCCAGGGGATGTAGACAGGGATTATCACCTGAAAGGTGAAGGAGCGGAGAAGGAAGAGTGGAGGGCCATTAGGGTGCCACAGGAAAAAGGAGCCGAGGAAAGCAGCCCCTGCATTAGGGAAGCGGGTGGGGCTCAGCTGGTGTCAGGAGGAACCTAGGGAGGGGTGGTGGGTCGTGTCAGAGCAGCTGAGTTTGTGGGGAAGCAAAGGAGTCAATAGAATATGTTTGATCCCAGCTGTGTTCCCAGGACACATACAGGGTGGGGCAAAGTAGGCTTGCAGTTGTAAGTGAAACAGAGTTTGTTCTTGCATTGTTATATATTAATTACCGTAAGCCTACTTTTGCCCACCCCTGTATAACTAGGCTCATGTGCTTCCTCCGAACTGCGCCAGGCCACTTGTGCTCCAAGTGGAGGGCAGGAAGGAAGGAAGTGCAGAGTGGACACGGATAATCCACCGCGTAGCAGATCCGCTCCCCAATGAAGGCTGACATGACTACCGGGCAGACGGGGACCTTTACAGTGAAGTAAAATGCCTGGCACCACTACTGCCACAATCGAGACACAGAATGCTTTGGTCATCGCCAGGGGTCCCTTGTGTATTTTCCGTCAGCTTCCAGCCCCAGACAACTGCTTCTCTGCTCTCTGTTCACCATAGATGACATCTGTTTGACCGAGAAGAGGCATCGCACCTTAACATATCTATTTTTATATATTTTGTTCATATAATACATATGGTGAGTGTGTAGCTATAATTACAGTTATAAAACCTGAGTTTCTCAACTATGGCCATTATACCCAAATTGGGCATTTTACATTTCACTTTTTTTCCTGGACAATGATAACGGACATCATACATTTTGGGGCTGCAACCTAAATTACCTCCCTGCATGTCACTTCACTTCATGTTCAGAACTTACTTGAGTGGTAAACGGGACAGGTTGCATTTTGTCTGCGTCATAATTGAGGAAATTAAAACCGATTTCTCCAAGGCCCCTTGTTAGGCCCAGGATTGGGCCACAGGCCCCGGGCCTCTGTCTGCCACGCAGTGTGAACGTGTGCCAGCTTGCACCCTCCCAAAGCTGCCTGCCTCTGTTGCAGAGGAAAAGGGGCCTGCGAGTGTTTCCCAGGTGCCTGGCCCCCCAGGGTTCGGAGCATTGGTGCGTCTTTCCCTCCCTGACTGGAGCCTTCTCTCTTACCCCCAGGCCCTGGCCACTCCCGGGGCCTTTGCCCAGAACCCGTCCCTCGTGTGGGAGTTCTACCACTACCGGCGGGAAGTCATACAGCGCGTGGAGCCCAACCCTGGGCACCTCGCCATCGCCGAGTGTGAGGCCCGGCTGCGTGACCAGGGCCGCCGGGTCATGGTCATCACCCAAAACATCGATGAGCTGCACCGCAAGGCTGGCACCAAGAACCTTCTGGAAATCCATGGTGAGAGCCCCAGGCCTCACACGGGGAGGGGAACCAGATTTTTAAAAAATATATCTTTACTGATTTCAAAGAGAGGAAGGGAGAAGGAAAGAGAGAGAAACAGTGATGAGAGTCATCTTTGATTGGCTGCCTCCTGCAGGCCCCCCACTGGGCATCCGGCCCACAACCCGGGCATGTGCCCTGACTGGGAATCGAACTTGGATCTCCTGGATCCTAGGTCAATGCTCAGCCACTGAGCCACGCCCGGCCGGGCGAGGGGAACCAGATTTAAAGCTCGTGTCCTGCCATTTCCCACCTGGACCACTAAAACAGAATCTGCATTTTGGCAGCGGCCCGATGTCTGCGGTGCACCTGTTGCGCTGGGAGCGCTGCTCTGCCCAGCTGCCTGCACTCCCCGCCCGGGGGCATTCTTGAGGGGGTTGTGCTGGGAGACAACTGCCCAGCTGGGCTGAAGGGAGCCAGGAGGTGTGGGCCACTGATCAGCTGTGGCTTTAGCAGGATCTGGCATGGGGGGACCTTGGCATTCCTGGGCATATCTATTTACTTTTCCTTTGCCCCCTGGTTGGCACTGTGCACTGAGGCTGTGCTTCTGCTAAGCCCTCCAGCCCTTGGGGAGCTGCCAGCTCAGTGACCTTCACTGTGTCAAACCCACCAAGTTTGTGACACTGTGGGTTTTGTCTTAGGTCCCTCTGGCTTCCCTGCTCTGCCCTGGCCACAGCCTACTTCTCCCTCTTGTTTCCTTAATTCTTTCCCCTCTCTGCTCTCACCAAAAATCTGATAAATCCATTCATACAGAAACATCAATGGGCGTGCAAAGATTTTTTCCCCAATGACATTTGCATTTAAGAGTCTACAAAACTTTAATCCCAAGGAATGCATTTCTAATTTTGGAATTTCCAGCAGCCGTCAGCCAGTGGGGAATGTGTGTGTGAATGCCATGAGGTTGTCCATTTTTGTCTAGGCTTTTGGTCACCCTAATAGTGAAAGTTGAGCACTGCTCACTTGGATCCCATCCCTCTTTTGTGTCCCAACAGCATCAGCCACCTACTGTCTTTTTGGCACCTTCTTCTGCTGGATCTGGGACACTTCCCACGTGGCTCTTCCATTTCTCCGCAGTGTCAGAATGTAGTCTGTGTCACTTGCCATGTCACATGCATAAAATGGGAATCCAGTTATTTTAAGGATTAAATAAGATGCTTATTAGTTGGGACTTTTTGGGTTGCAGGTGATGAGAACTCTCTTCTAATTCAGGTAAAACTAAAAGGAATCCCTTCCTTGCACCAAATTGAAGATGCCATCAGTTTTAAGATGCATCATGTTTTAAATGTGATACTTAGAAAGAAAATAATCTGCCCAAACCATGATATCTTATTTTATTATCCCTTAGAATTGCTATCTTATACTTATAGAAAGGGCTTGTTAAAACTTACTAAATACACATTTTGAGAAACTATCATTCTCATGCATATAAAAAACAAACATGGGTGAAATGACATGGTCAAGATATTTCTCCTGAGTTACTTCTGAATGACTCTGCGCATCAGCGACTGTTTCCCACAGTCACGCTCTGTGCCATCAGGGGGTCGGCGATGCAGCATTTCCTAAGAGGGCGCTCCTCTCTTATCCTTGGGTTTCTCTTCCAAGCTGCTGACACACATTCTATGTGTTCAATGTTGGGCCTTTCGTGATCTTACCAAAAGGTGCCAGTGAAAGGGTTCCAGCAACAACCAGGATTCATTTTCTTCCCCAAATGGCCCTAAAGTGGTTTGTTGGCTGAAATATGCAGAGGCTGCCTTTATCCAGTCAGGGCCCATGTCAGTCACTGGTGTTCTTTTCAACAAGTCTGTGCAAGTGCTGGCTGTGACAACCATGTCACATCTGTTAGGTGGCCAGTGGCAGCTGCAGGATGCAGCTGAATTTCAGAGATGTTATTGGGGAGAGTGGCCACGCTAAAACTGACAAAACAGGGACGCTGGCTTGCAACACGGAGGAGCCCTGGAGGAGCAGACGTCAGCAGCAGGCTCCGTCTTTCTCTCTGCCTCCCTGCCCCTCCTTCCCTCAGCTTTGCTGACCCTGAGTTACCTCACCTCTCCCTCTGCAGTTGATCGCCTCCATGTGCCAGCAAAGGTAGCTTCTGGTGGCTCCAGGCTCACTCTAGCTTAGCTCTCTCCTCAGAAGGTAAACCCACCTGCTTTTTGACCAAACACCACCTCTAGAGCGATAGGCTATTAGGATTGGACCAATCTGGAACTTGTGCCCAAGCTGGTAGTTTAGGATGTGATTGTCAGCTCCATCAGCTCGGCATGGGATAGAGGAGAGATGGGTCCTCCACAAAGCGACACTGGACAGAATGCAACAATATGTGTCCACCACAGTGTGTGACGTGCTCAGCACAGCACTGGGCACATGGCGAACATGTAGTGAGTTGTGGTCACCTTGATCGAGTGAGCTCAATAAGTGGTTGCTAGTTTTAACTGTTATTTTCTAAATTTGTTAGTTGATTAATTATTGCTCTGGTTTTGGATAAAATATTCACGCTCTATTAAGTTGAAATTAAGATTTGTAAGCACATCCCAAGCTACTGAACCTTTATCAATTATGTACTTAGTAAAGCCTGCCCTTAGGTTTGGTTGGCTGCATCTACCCTGTTGAGCAGCTCAGTTCCGCCTGAACATCACTCCAGGTAATCTGAGAGCTCCTTAGTCATGAGTGATTATTTCATCTGTCCCTTCCCTCCAGAGTACAAAGTCCAGGAGGCAGATGCTCCTGGCTTGTTCAGTGGTACTGCGTGCCTTTCCCTTTCCCATGATGCCTAAGGTAGGCCCATTTGCTAAAATGAACATATAAAAACTAAATGACTTTTACCCTTTTGGATACAGTTGCTCTTTTTTTTAAAAAAATATATCTTTATTGATTTGAGAGAGAGAGAAACTTCAATGATGAGAGAGTCATTGATTGGCTGCCTCCTGCACCCCTCCCCCCCCACTGGGGATCAAGCCCCCAACCGGGGCATGTGCCCTGACCGGGAATCGCACTGAGATCTCCTGGTTTACAGTCGATGCTCCACCACTAAGCCCCACTGGCCGGGCGAGACGGTTGCTCTTGATGATACTCTTGCTAGTATTGCTTAACTTGTGTTTTTCAGGTAGCATATTTAAAACTCGATGTACCTCTTGTGGAGTTGTGGCTGAGAATTACAAGAGCCCAATTTGTGCAGCTTTATCAGGAAAAGGGTAATTATGCTACTCTGCAGAATGAGTATGTGTTGTTTTCTCTTTTAAATTGAACATAAATGCGAGGAAATTGAACATTAACCTAAGATTCCCATGGTTATTTATGAGAAATAGGACCAAATACATTATCGTATATTATGAAGGAAATATTTTGCTCACAATTTATAAGATTAAGTGAAAAACCACAGGATCTAACTCTCTACAGTATGATCCTAACTTTGTATTTAAACACACACATGCACAGACACACGCCCCATGCTGATGTATCTGTGTAGAGATAACAGACCTGAAAAAAAATACAGCAAAATGTTAACAGTGGTTCTCAGGAGTGGTGGGATGATAGGTAATTCTGATTTCTTCTTTATAGCCTTTTTAATTTTCTAACATTTCTGTGATGACTGTGTGCTATTCTTGTAGTTAGGGAAAGAAATTAAGAGTAGACTCAGAATATTGAGAAAAAATCTACCTGATCATTTTAAATCAGTATAAATGATATGAGAAATATGTTAACATGATGTCATCAAAGAAGATTCAAATGATAACATGTACAGTGCAGATCATGACGCTCCCCCTTTAGCACACCTGCTGCTCCACCTCCTCCCCACATAAAATCCCCCCTCGAGGTGAAACCACTGGTAATGCCTTGGGACCCATTCTTCGAGTGCCTCGTGTATTAACTAGGAGTTTTGTACCATATCCTACCAGGCAGATACCCACACTCACTGGGTTATGTTACCCTCTGTTCTGTGATTGTGCCCATGACGTTTTCTCTCCCTAATACTGTTTACTCAGTGCCCCGGATCCCGAAGCGCAAGATGCCAGAATCCCAGTGGAGAAGCTTCCCCGGTGGGTAAAAAACTTGAATCTGTGTTTGGTGCTCCAGGTTGCAAGGAAGGAAAATTAGGAATCAAAGTGCAAGTTCATTTGGTGCGGTGCCTCTTAAATCCTCAAATGGAAACACCAGCCCTGACCTATGAGGCCAGGGGCGGAAGCCCAGAGGGGGAACCCAGCGGGGGAAGGGAGGGCTGCTTTCCTGCCCCTTCTCGCTCTGTGTGGCGGCAGGGCAGGGGCAGGACAGCGGCAGGGCCTGGCCTCGCGAGGCCCGCAGAGTTCCCCAAGCGGCTGTGCTGCAGACGCCGGCCAGGGTTTACAAAGCACAGAGGCTGGCGGCCTGTGGCTGGTCAGTAAACCTTAGCTACCGTCACCTTCCTCCTCCTCACTGTCGTCAGTGGCATTAATGCAGGTTTATGGCGACATTAAACGGTCTTGCAAAGATGAAATTATAGGGCCAAAACAATTTTTGTAGATTTAAAAAAAACCTAAAAAGATTTTGATGTCAAAATTTTTCGAAGCCAGATGTTAAAATAGCACTTCCAAAAGTGTTTCAGAGAGCACTAGATGCATGTGCTGTTCGTAGGCATTGCTGAAAAGAACAGGTTATGTGCTCAAATCACACTACATTAAAGCAAGTTAAAGGATGTTTGCTTTACTGTAGGACTTCTCAGAGCATTTCATATGCTAATGTACATCGTTACTCTCTAAAATGTGGTTATAATATGTTAATATTTCACTGGTTTATTTAACCACAGAGCCCTTTTTTTCCTTAATAAGGGTTTCATTACTAATGCTAAAGTTTCGATCTGAAAGAACAGGGAATCCGGGGGGCTTTCTGAATAGGACATTAATATGATGTTTGGGGGAGGTTATTTGAGAAGGGACATATAAAATGACTAAGATAGTAGTGAGGAAATGGTGAGGGATTTTTAGTAATCTACACTGGAGAACTTGGCAATAGACAGGACCAGAGAGATGTGATTCTCAGAGAAAATGAAAGGAGGCCATTGATGAAATTAGGGGGTGGTTGGAGTGGTAGAGGCGAATCTGAGTCCAGTGTTCCTCCCAGGTCTGCGCAACTGAGCGCAGTCATGCCCATGAGTGTGGTGAAGTCGCTGGGAAACAGAAAACTGTTTAAGAAAGAGAAGGTCAAGCTTGGCTGAAACACATTTGTCTCCAAATCACCCCAGTGCATCCAGACAAAAGTAAAACTTTATGAGGCAGTTAAAGCTAGCACTTCATATTCAGGACAAGCTCCTATGGGCTGGGAGGGCAGGGCTGTTGATCAGAGTATCAGAAGTGACCTATCTGGATGGCTGGATTTGGAGCAGCCCCTGGGCTTCCTCTGGTCACCCTGGGCAGACCTCCGGGCAGGGCGCAGGGCTGAGTTAAGGATGCTGTTCTTACAGGTGTGAAGAGGCAGGGTGCGGGGGCTTGCTGCGGCCGTATGTAGTGTGGTTTGGAGAAAGCCTGGATCCTGCTGTCCTGGAGGAGGTTGACAGAGAGCTGGCCCTCTGTGACTTATGTCTAGTGGTAGGTCACATCCTTCCCTGATGGTGGGGATTTTCTGAAACTCCAGGATGGGTGGAGGTTGATGTTCCCTCCCTCCCTGCCCCTGTCCCTTCCTCCCCTCCCTCCTGTAACCCTTTGGTGCGTGGGCTAACACTCTAACCACTGAGCCACATGGGCCAGGGTGAAATTTTGAAATTTTAAACAATGCTGTGGTAAATAGCCTCAGACATAACTCTTTTTTAAAAAATTTTTATTGCTTGATTTTGAGAGAGATAGAGGGAAACATCAGTTTGTTGTTCTACTTAGTTGTGTATTAATTGGTTGCTTCTTGTGTGTGCCCTGATAGAGGATTGAACCCCCAACCTTGGCATATCAGGACAATGCTCTAACCAACTTAGCTACCTGGCCAGGGCCTCAGACATAACTCTTAGCAGGCTCATCAAATGATTGCTTTAGGCCTAGCTTGTGTGGCTCAGTGGTTGAGCATTGACCCATGCACCAAGAGGTTGCTGGTTCGATTCCTGGTCAGGGCACGTGCCTGGGTTTTGGCCTAATCCCCAGTGGGGGGGGGCATGCTGGAGGCAGCCAATTGATGTTTCTCTGTCATTGATGTTTTTATGCCTCCCTCTCCCTTCCTCTCTCTTTAAAATCAATAAAAACATTTAGGGGAAAAAAATTACTGCCTTAGGACAAATTTCCTAGAAATGGAATTAACTGGCCAAAGTGTAGACGTATTTCAAATTTTCCTTAACATATCTTTAAAAGCAGAGACACTTTCTCAGGGATGCATACTCATTCAGCCAGTATTTACTGAGTGCATCCCAAAGTTGAGTGCAGGGTCAGTGTTCATGCTGGCTGGCCAGCTAGGTGAGAAAAGCTGGTTTGTAAAATATATTCTGGTCTTCCCATTCTTTTTTCCCCCCAGCAACCTCAGTGCTTGAGTTCTGGCTAAGAAAGAATTCAGAGGCAAGACTCATATACAAACGAACGTTTATTTAGAAAGTCCCTGAGATAGAAGAAGTGAGCCATGGAAGAAATGAGCCAGCTGGTCTTCCCATTCTTGTAAAGAATGTTTATAAACCTATATCCATAGGGGAAAAACCTGAAAGAATATACATCAAAATGTGAACAGTGATTATCTTTTGGGGTAGTAGGATTATAAATGATATGTATTTGTTTTTTGTTTGAATTATCTAACTTTAAAAAAAAAAGGATCATGGATTATTTGCATCACTTCAAAGAGCAGAAACAAAAATAAAGCTAACCCCAAAAGGCGATGAGTCATTTCGTTGCCACTCTCTCCGTTTGCACAGCTCTCCTTTCCACAACACATCGTTCTCAGTTCCAGTGATCGGCTAAAAAGATGCCTCCTGACTTCCCGTTTGTCCCTTAAATACTCTCCGTTTATCTCATCCAGCTTAGTTTTCCCCACACCTGCAAACACAAACCTGCCTGGGTTTATGTGAGATTTTCTGAAAAAAATGTTGCTTCTCTGCATAGTGTGGTCATTGGCCTGTTTCCACCTGTTTGCTCTGTAGGTGGGAACGTCCTCCGTGGTTTATCCTGCTGCCATGTTTGCCCCCCAGGTGTCTGCCAGGGGAGTGCCAGTGGCCGAATTTAACATGGAGACCACCCCAGCCACGAACAGATTCAGGTACAGGGACTACCAGGGTGGGAGATGGAAGGTATTGAGCAGGCTTGGATGTGGTCATTTAAGACAGTTTACCTACTGTTCTAATTTTTTAAAAAGGGTTTGTGTTATGCTTGACCTGTGATTGCTTTTATAGCAGAACGAAATATCGTTAACAGTAACGAAGGTGGCTCTGTCTTTTTACAAGGGGTTTGCCGTAGGACTTTTATTTTTCATATTGTGAAAGCTCTTCTTTGATTCCTTAGGCTTTGCTCTCCTCTGCCTTTTTGAGCTAGAGTTAGTGATGGCAGGCATTTAGGCGCAGGTGAGCCAAAGGAACGTTCAGCCAGTAAGCCTGGGAGACACGCGTGCAGAACTTCATCGGCTGCTCTCATTGTGAGGCTGCCTGGGCAAGTTTTCTTTGGTCTAATTGCCAAGAATATTTGTACTTGTGGCCAGATTATGATACTGATTCCGTTTCCCTCATTTGTGTGGAAAGAGTAGATCATCACAGTGTGCATTTTAGTCCCATTCCATGCCTTCACCTGCATTTTCCTTTCTTTTTTCATCCCTGCTAGTTTGGTCTTCGCTTTTAATTTAGTTTATATATTATTGTCAGTCTGCTTAATTCCTTTCTAGAATAAGATGGAATATAAATAACTAATAAATAAATAAAATTACAAAGTGCCACTGAAACTCTTGTCATTACTTTAATCAGTGGTTTTCAAACTCGGCTACATATTTTTAAAATACTGATGAGTGGGTACCACCCATGAGAATCTGATGTAATTGGTCTGAGGTGGAGCCTGGGCATCAGGACTTTTATAAGCTTCCCAGGTGATTCTAATGTGCAGCCAGGATGAGAAGCTCTGTTCTGAGTCTTCATTGGGATAAAAAGTGTGCCACAGACTATGGGAAACACACTTTAATGTGATCCTCTTCAGGCAAGTTAGCTGGCTTTTGTCCTAGTCTTCTCCAGGTCTTAATCAGCTCTAGCCTGTGTTCTCAGTCCATAGTTCTTCGCTTGTATGTAAGTGGTAGGAACTAGAAAGGCATCCTTTAAAAAAATTGCTCTCTGTGTAAAACTTATACTCTGAAAACTATAGAATGTTGTTGAAAGAAATAAGAAGACCTAAATAAATGGAAGGACATCCATGTATCTGAATTGGACAACTTAATATTATGAAGGTGACAATACTCCCCAAAGTGACTTACAGATTCAGCCAATCTCTTTCAAAGTTGCTTCTGGCTTCTTTGCTGAAGCTGACAAGGTGATCCTAAAATTTACATGAAAATGCAAGGGACCCAAATGGCCAAAACAAAAAGAAGAGGAAATTGGAGAACTCACACTTCCCAGTTCCAAAACTTACTACAGAGCTACAGCTTTCAATATGGTGTGGTACTGTCATAAGGACAGACATATAGATCAGTGGAATAGAATTGACAGTCCAGAAAAAAACTCGCACATTTATGGTCAACTGACTTTTGAAAAAGTATAAAGACAAAGCAGCGATGGAAAGAATAGTCTTTTTGACAGGTGGTGCTGGAACAGCTGGATAGCCAAGCGCAGAAGAATGAAATTGGACCCCTTCACACCATATACAAAAAAAATAACTCAACTGGACTGTAGGCCTAAGTAGAAGAGCTAAAAATGTAAAACACTTAGAAGAAAATGCAGGAGTAAATCTTCATGGCCTTGAGTTCGTCAAAGCCTTTTGATAGGACATCAAAATCACAGGTAACATGAAAAATGGATAAAGTATCACTTTTGGTCCTTCAGATCAAGTGTAGAAAAATGGGTAAACTGGACTTTGTCAAAATTAAAAACTTCTTTACTTCAATGGACACCATAGTAAAGTGAAAAAGACAACCCACAGAATGGGAGAAAATATTTGCGAGTCTAATATTTGATAAGGAATTTGTATCTAGAATACATTAAGAACTCTCACAAGTCAATAATAAAAAGACAAGTAACCCAATTAAAAAGTGGGTCAAAGATTCAAACAGACAGTTCTTCAAATATATACATATGGCCAGTGAGCACATTGAAAAGATGCTGAACATCATTAATCATTAGGGAAATGTAAATTTAAACCACGACGAGATAGCACTTAACAGCCTCTGGTATGGCTCTGCAGTAGCCCCTTCTTATCCACGGGGGACATATCCTAAGACCCTCAGTGGAGGCCTGAAACCACAGCTAGTACTGAACCCTACATAGACTGTTTTTTCCTATACATACATAACCTATGATGAAGTTTAGTTTACAAATTAGGCACAGTAAGAGATTAACAACAATAACTAATAATAAAATAGACCAATTATAACAATATATTGTAATAGAAGTTATGTGAATGTGGCCTCACAGACTATCTTACGGTACCGTACTGTTCGTGTGAGGATGTAGCTGATACAGCGCCTGTGTCATGAGGTGAAGTGAGAAGCTCCGAATGGTGTGCAGTTTAAAACTTATGAATTGTTTATTTCTAGAATTTTCCCATTTAATACACTTGAAGCGAGGTTGACTGCAGGTAACTGAAACCACAGAAAGGGAAACCGTGGATAAGGGGGACTGCTGCAGTTTAAAAAACAGAAAATCAGTGTTGATGAAGAAATTGGACCCCTCTTACATTGCTGGTGGGAACATGCACTGTGCAGCTTCTTTGGAAAACAGCCTGGCAGTTCCGCAAAAGCTTAAATACAGAGTTAACATATGTCCCAGCAGTTCTGCTGGTAGGTATATAGCCAAGAGAAATGAAAACGTGTTTACACAAGATGTGTACACGAATGTTCCTAGCAGCATTGCTCCTAATAATCAAAAAGTGGAAACAACCCGAATGGCCACCAACTTATGAATGGATAAATAAAATTTGGCATATATACAATGGAATATTATTCAGCCATAAAAGTAATGAAGTACTGATACATGCTATAACATGGATGACCCTTGAAAACATACTGAGTGAAAGAAGCCAGACACACAAGCCCACATATTGTATGATTCCATTTGTATTAAATATCTACAACATGCAAATAGAGACAGAGGTAGATTAGTGGTTGTCTAGGGCCGGGGCAGGGAGGAATGGAGAGTGACAGCTGATAGGTACAGATACATTTTGGAGGCAATAAAAATGTTCTAAAGTTGACTGCAGTGGTGATTGTACAACTCTGTGAATATACTAAAAATAAAATTTTTAATTATATATTTTAAGTGAACGGATTGTATGTGAATTATATTTCAACAGAGCTGTTAAAAAATCAAACTTGTCTTCTAACTTATCCACTGAAAAATAGACATTAGGCCTCTAATATGCATTGTGTCACATGTGTAGCACCTGGCTAGTTAGTGTCATTCAAAGTAACATCAGAGCCCTGTACCTGAAGCCTCCTGTCTGCTTGAAAGCACATCAGAAAACCTCAGGAGTGGGCGGAATGAACTTCCTGAAGGAGGAAATGAGCTGCATCCCAGTTCCATTCATCCGTTGTGGTTTATTTTCAGTCATTTGGTTTCCAGCTCATCTCAAATAAGTGTAAAGAATTAAAACAAACCATTATTATATAAAAGTAAGAAATGCAGGTAGGGAAGGAGAAGAAAAAACTGCAGTGTTTCCACAACCCAAGATACGCGTTGGCCTCTGCCTCTCATGCTCTGCACTGACCAGTAGGCGCTGGGCGTCCATCCTGGCAGGTTCAGAAGAGATTCTTGGCATGTAATGATATCATCTCATAAGACGGGCCTCCTAAAGCCAGACCTGGTTCAGCTGCTACGGTTCTTCAACCTAAATTCTCCAGATTCACATCCTAAAAACCTGCGCTATCTCTGTTCAGACAGACAGGCTACTTGCTAGTTAGAAACTTGGGCCAAGCTTGACAAGCTGCCCGTTGACCAACACCTCCCACAAGAGCCACCATCTGTTTGTTGGCTTCTTTGGGGAGCTGAGGCCAGCTGTACCACCAAGTCTAGGATTTTCCCTGATGAATAACTGACCAGTGAAGCCAACAATGCTTTTATCTGGGCGTCATCAAAGCTGACATGTAGAAGAAGTGAGGGTGATCATCTCATCCTACTAAAAATTTTAAAATTTCAAAATTTCAGTGACCAAGCCTAGGGCCTTGGAGTGGCATGTTTAAACCCACAGCTTAACAATGGCAGAATTTTTCTTACATCTCACGCGCAACAGATTTTGGCTGAACTTTACTCCAGGTCAGAGCCAGCAAACCACTGCCTGTAGGCCAAATTCACGTCCCACCTGCATTTGTAAATAAAGTTGTGTTGGAACTCGGCCGTGGCCGTGTGTTTGTGTATTGTCTGTGCAGCTTGTGCATGACAGCAGAGTTGAGTAGTTGCAGCAGAGACTGTCTGGCCTGTATAATATTTACTCTGGCTCTTCACAGGAAAAAATGGCCAGCCCTGGCTGGTGTGGCTCAGTTGGTTGAATGTCAGCCCGCACACCAAGAGGTCACTGATTTGATTCCTTGTAAGGGCACATACCCAGATTGTGGGCTTGGTCCCCAGTTGGGGTGCATACAGGAGGCAACCAATCGATGTTTTTCTCTCTCTCTCACCCTCTCTTGTCTTCTCCCTTCCTATCTCTCTAAAATCAATTAAAAAAATATTAAAAAAAAAAATTGACCGCCCGGCCGGTGTGGCTCAGCAGTTGAGCATCGCCCTATGATCCAGGAGATCACTGTTTGATTCCCAGTCAGGGCACATGCCTGGGTTGCGGGTTTGATCCCCAGTGGGGGGGTGCAGGAGGCAGCCAATCAATGACTCTGTCATCATTGATGTTTGTCTCTCTCCCTCTCCCCTCCTCTCTCTGACAAGCAGTAAAGATATATATATTTTTAAAATGACCAATCCCTGCTCTAAGTTAATGAGAAAAATGAAAATTGGAATAATATTTGTTCTAACCTGATTTTCTTTATTGTTTAAGTAGGTAGCCAGAATGCTGCCTACATTTTTAATTTGGATCTCACAAGACTCCTTAGACCTTGCACAAGTTCTTTTGATTCTTTGCCCCAATTCTAATTTAGAGACAAAGTCGTAGAATTTCCCTCCCACTGAAATATGTTAATATTTTCAAGGTGTTAATTAGTTCCAGTTTTGTTTTTGTCATTTCCCCCATCCCTGATAGCTGTCTTGGATGAACTTCTGGTAAACCATTACTGTTAGATACTATGCTTCTTTGGATTTGGGCTTCAAGGTTTTGACTGTCACTCAACCCCAGGGGTCCTTGGCATGTAAGGGTCAGTGCATTTGCTGAGGCAGAAATGGGACTCACACTCCCCGCCGGGCTGGTGTGCAGGGCCTCCAGGCACCCTGGGCCCTCCACACCCTGCAACCACCATGATGCTCAGCTTTTAATTTCCATAAACTTTGGAATTTAGTTGATATCCACAGATACTTATTAAGTAGCTACTATGTTCTAGACATTGTTGTAGGTATTTAGTATAGGATATATCAGTAAACAAAACAAAAAATCTACCGTGTGAAGATGTCACTCTAGTGGTGGAGGCAAACAGTATACAACAAGCATAATAAATGTGCAAATTCTATAGCATCTGAGAAGGTGGGTGATATTGGGGAAAAGCAAAGGTAGAGTTGGGGATGGGGTGCAGGGAGGTCAAAGGATTCAGTTGGGTAGTTCGGGCCAGCAGCGTGGAGGAGAGATCTGAGCAGACTTGGAGGTGAAGGAGTTACTAGCTAAAGAGATTGCCTGGGCTAAGAGCTCTTCAGCCACTGGGCCCACCTAGAGTGAAGGCCTGGAAGGTTTGAGGGACAGTAGGGGGTCAGTGTGGCTGGAGTGGGGAGGGAGTCCCAGAAGATGCAGTCAGTAAGGTAGGGAAGTAACTAACATGTTTGTGTTGGGGAGCAAGTGACCCCAACGAAAGCTAACTACTGGTGGAGTTTAGAAAACTAAGTCATTCTGAGCTAGAGTGTGGTTTCATAGGTGGCTTTATTATGTATTTACTCATCAGGAGCATAGAGAGGCGACTTCTCACTCACAGTTGACCACATTTGACAGGGAAAGCCAGTGCCCTCCCTACCTGGCTGGATTATCAAGGGCAGGGAGTAGGGGCCCTTTTAGTCTGTGCAGTTGGGCCCCTAGTGGTCTGTTAATTTTTTAAAAAGTCACTTAAAGCAATAATAATAATAAAAGACACATATACCTTAAATATTTTATTTTCATTTAAAGCATTCATTTTCTTTTTTCTTTTTGATAGAGCTAGGAGCCTTCTCCTTGAGTAGGAATCTGCTGATTGGAGCTCACCTTTCTCGCATAAATGTGCATGCTCGTAACCCTCCTGATGTTCCCCAAATTTCCCTGAAGATAAAAATCACCTGTGCCCTTATTTTATAAAACAAAACAGACAACCAAAAAAATCAGACCTCTAGGCCCCAGTCTACACTTCCTGAATCAGAGTTACCAGGGCAAGAGGACTGCTTATTTTTGTATATTTAAAGGGTGATCCAGGCAATTCTTATCATTAGGAAATCTTGGAAAACACTGGAAACAATTTCTGGTTTTGATATATTTTTCTTTTTCTTTTCTTTTCTTTTTTTTTTAAAATATATCTTTATTGATTTCAGAGGGAGGAAAGGAGAGGGAGAGAGAGAGAAACATCAATGATGAGAGAGTCATTGATGGAGCCCACAGCCCGGGCATGTGCCCTGACCAGGAATTGAACCCTGATCGCCTGGATTCTAGGTCGATGCTCAACCTCTGAGCCACGCCCGGCCGGGCTATTTTTCTTTTTTTTAAGCGGAGAAAGAATGTACTAAAAGAAGCTTGTGATGCTCTCTTCCCCCTAGCCTCTTCCACCTACAGCTAATTTAACGATTATTTTTAGTGACTCACTGTGTGTTTCTAAAGCATTCAATGACTATTCCTAGAAATAACCCTCTTTGAACAGCTATATTTTTGCAGTTTATTACATAATTTTAAATTAAATTGGGTAATTACATTAACCAATAAAAATGGCGTGGACAGATTCTGGAACAGTCTTGGTTATTCTGCAACTGGAGGGCAGGGGGACAGTGCATGGGCGCTAGAACAGGGGTCTTCAAACAGTTTTGTTCACGTACCTCTGCCCTGTTTGTAAACTTGACATCTAAAATTTTTACATCAAAATCATGAAAAAAAGGTGTGATTCCAAGAGTATTGGAAATAAAACACTGGCATTTTAAAATAGAACTGCCATTATCGTGTCTTAAATATATCCAGGCAAATCTGAACGCCACAAGTGCTTGATATCCACCACCAGCCGTTTACAAAGCACACAGCCCCTTTTAACAGCTGGAGCCTTCACAGTTTTTCTCTTCGACTCTGAACTTCTATTTCCATTCTACTTCCATCACAGAAATTTGTACTAGTGTAAACATATTTTTATGCTCGAAGTCTTTTGTGGACTACCCTATTATAACTCTGCAACAGAATATCAGATGAATTATTTATTTTCAGTTTCCTTAAAACTTAAATGTTCTCTTAAAATTTTTTTCTACTGTAAATTTGTCACTACAGCAACTTGTAGTATGCAGTTGTTTAAAACAACAAACCAATGATAAATTTGACTAATACTTCCATAAAAGTAAAATGTTATTGGAACTGCATCTCCTAATTGAGGCATGGGACATGCATTTTTTGAATTAGTTCATGTGTCCATGGCTGAATAGTACGAATTGTTAGACGGAGACAGAATTCGTGTTGTAGCCTCGGTCACCAGAAATGAACCTATAGTTGGTGACAGGCTTACTGACTGAATGTAACGAGGGAGACTGCTTCAGAGGAACCCGGGGGCATGTCCCCAAAGGAAAGGCGGAATTACAGGATTTGTTGGGAGAGTGGGGTTTAGGTGAAATTTAAATGAAGCAGTTTTTGATGCATTCAGCAGCTGGCAGGGCTTTGTGAAAAGGGGTTCAGTCAGTCTGGCTGGCAAAGTGGACTCAGGGTCCGGTGTCCTTGGAAATGACGAAGTAAAGGGAGACATGGACGGCTGTGCCAGACACCTTCTAACTGCAGCTCGGCCCCTGGGTGGGAAATCAAGGCTGCGTGTCAATGGCAGTGACCGAGACCCCCCAGGCACAAGGCAATATTTCACTCTTTACTGCTTTCATTTCAGAAGAGAAGTTTCTAATACCTCATGGTTTTAGAGGGCAAAATGCCTCAGTGAGTAACAAAATACAGTTACTCAAAGAAGGGAGTGGTTAGGATTCTTCGATTCTTGGCAGCTTGTGCGGGGAAACCTAGTTTCCTCTTCACTCCGCAGCTTTCTCTGTGTCTCACCCCGACTGAGGGTCGAGGGCTGGCAGCGCAGATCTTCACCCGCCAAGCTCAGTTTTACCTTTTCAATGTCAAGTGTAATTCTTAGCTTTTGCTTTTTAGAGATGGACGTACTGGGAGACATGGGCCACATAAACCCCGACATGAAAGGAGTTTCCTATGGCACTGCCACTCAGATATGGGACCTCCTTCCTTTACATGCTAAAATACCATAGCAATATTATATCTTATTTTGTTATCTGTTAACTGACAATTCTATCAGACCCTCTTTGTTTTATTCAAAGCAAGAATGAAACGGCCCTCCTTGCATAAGGATGTCATGCCCAGTCTCCAGAAGTCATTTGTTTTTGTTAATCTACACCGATAGCTCAAAGGTCTCTTTAGCTGGCACCCCCTAGGTTTCACATTCTGGGCTCAGGCACCGTGGTGAGATTTGGGGGGGACAAGGGTGCAGCTTGCTTCTGTGAAGGGGGGGCAGAGGAGGGGGGCGCTTGAGAGTCACTTTCTTAGGAAGGGGACCGCGTGGGGTTGCGGGTATGGGAATTCCCTAAAAGCTCTCTGCAATTCTTGGAAAGTCCTCAAGGGACTGCGGCCACTGCGCTGGGAGGGGCCTTCTAGCGGCCAGTGTTGGGCACACTGAGCGGCAGGAGTGGAGATGCCATCTGGTCAGGGAGGCCCATCTGTGGCACTTGGGAGAGATCAGCAGTTAATCGAGGTCTTCATGATTTCTGTTGTGTCAAGACTAAATAATATGATGAATTACGCTGAGCAAATGCTTGTCTCGTTTTTAATTGTGCTCAGTTGGTTTTCTAATGAATCATACGCAAGAAAACCTTGCTTTTCTTCCTTATTGAGACTTGGGGTTTTTTGGGGTGTTTTCCTGTCCTAAGTGATTTCTCTAGAAGGAAGCAGAAATCATTGATTTTTCTCCCTCCTCTTTGCTCTTTTTTCTTTTCTTTTTCTCTCCTTTCTGACGACAAATCAGAGCTAATCGTAAAGTCCAACAGATAGTTGGAGAGGCCTGTTGACTCACCTAAATTCCTTATAGTCTGTATGGGGCATGAGGTTTTCTCTTGTCCTTAGTCCGTATGAATGCTCTTTTAATGTAGTATAGGCACTGTAAAACTTAAAGGCTGTAATTATGACCCTGGCCCCGTAGCTCAGTAGGTTAGAGCATTGTCTGGATACGCCAAGGTTGCGGGTTCGATCCCTGGTCAGGGTACATACAAGAAGCAACCAATGAATCATAAATAAGGGGAACAACAAATTGATGTTTCTCTCTCTCTCTGTCCCCCTTCCTCTCTCTCTCTAAAATCAATTTTAAAAAAACAACTTCAATTGTGAGTTTGGCAATACAATCACAAAATATAGTTTATAATCATGTCTCCCCCTGCCCCTTAAAATAAAATTCTTACTTATACCTCCTAAATTCTAGGCATTTCCTTTCCTAAATTCTCTTGATCACAAGGGCCAACCCATAGTGAAATGTCTACATCTTGAGTTGTCAGAAACTAGATGAAAGAAGTGGGCACAAAAACTCATAGTGCCACATTTGTGAGAATTTGGATTTTACTCTGGGTCTAATTAAGATACGTGTAACCTGCTGAAGTATACGTTGGTTTAGCTCCTAACTCTGCTGTATTTGTCCTTCTGTTTCAGGTTTCATTTCCAGGGGCCCTGTGGTAAGACTCTTCCTGAAGCCCTGGCTCCTCATGAAACTGAAACGGTTTCTTAATTGTCCTGGGGAAGGAAGAAGTTATAGTACATCTAAGTCCCAGGCCACAAACAGAGGAGACACAGTCTCGTAGATGGGGAGCTGAATAGTGGAAGATCTAAAAATATCCCCTGATTTCCCGGCTGGGATCCAACCTGTTGATAAGTGGTAGGGCCTTAGAGGTAACAACAGCAAATGTCCTTACAAGAAGTCAGAGAACTGTAAAGCTAATGCATGTTATTTGGTTTGAACTTAAACATAAGATACTTCTGATGTGTTTGGTTGGCTATTAGGAGGGGGAAAATTCTAATTAAGATTGTCTTAAAAATGTAATTATCCCAATTGTATTTTTGCTATTTGGCAAAGATGGAAGTAAACAGGTAAAAACCTTGATAGTTCTGATTTTGTACAAGTTTTGGTGGAAAATAAAGTCACTCTCTACAGTAGATAATTTAGTGTATAAAGATGTGACCCCCCCCAAGAGAGATCTTTGTTGAGGACTCTTCCTTCTCTGTTTTCACCTCATTTGGCTGCTTTATCTCAAAGTATGTAGGAAAGCTTAAACAGGACCTCAAGCGAGGAAGAAAGAAAAAAGTAGCAACAAGGTAGAAAATCGGGATGAGTCCCTTCCCCCACCCCCAAATGATGCAAATATATAGCATCCAAAGGTAAACACAACTGCCTAAAATTTAGTACTAGCCTTTTTAAAAACGTGTTTTCATTGATTTTTCAGAGAGAAAGGAAGGGAGAGGGAAACATTGAGAGAGAAACATGGATCGGCTGCCTCCTGCACGCCCCCTACCGGGGATTGAGCCCACAACCCAGGCATGTGCCCTGATGGGAACAGAACCTGAGACTTCCTGGCGTGTGGCAGATGCTCAGTCAACTGAGCCACAGCAGCCCAGCAGTACTAGCCTTATGAGCAGCCAAGAAGGAAAGGGAGAGGCGATGGTTGACTGTTTCTTAATATTATAAGCAAAGAAGCGTACAGTCCCTGCGGGCTCTGCCAACCTTTCCCAGACACTGAATTCTGAAGGGAATGTTTTCCATGGGACGTCACCTTGGAGTAGGGCAGCAAGAACAGAGTTTTCACCTCAAGCCCCACCACCTAACGCAGCACCCAGGGCCCTTGGAGTGCCTGCTTGCTCTCGGGCAAGCATCTGAGGCCTGACTGAGAGGAGTGGCCTTTAGTAAGCACTATAGGAAGGTTGTACATAACAGTGGCTCTTGGAAAAGGTGGCTTCCTGGGTGATCACACACCTGGTCACATCACCTCAGCCCCTTAAAAAATTGCATTTAATGTTACACCCTTGGCTTTTGTGCAAACAGACTATAAGACACTATCACACAAAACTTTGTACTGCATTTGCAAGTCATACCTTTTGGTAAATCCCAAAGGTCCTTTGCATGGGTGAGAAGGATGCCCGTAACCTACAAGGAGTCTGAAGGGCCGACCTTTAGGGTTCAATTCACACTTCACATGGGTGGTTCAACACACCTACACTGAAGGGACTTATAATACTTGTAATGCAGTTTTTGTACATAAAATACCATTGTTCTCTTTTAATAGGCTTGTGGTCGGGCTTCTCAGTTACTTTATACATTTTCCTAGTGTTAGCAGTGATGGGAGTCAGCACGCTGTCTCAGAGAGTCTGATTATATGTTTAATTTCTATCTGACCAAGGCCCAGGATTTCAGGACTGTTCTTTGCAACTCTTCTGAAACCGGGCCTTTGGTACCAGCAGCTTTGTGTGTGTGTTTTATCATTTTCATGTTTTGGTTTTATTAGAGAAAATGAAGGGAGAATTGAAAATACAAAATGTGGGGTAGAAAATTTTCAATTCAGGTTCATAATATTGAACGCCTGCCACGTGATGGCGTTAGAAATAAAATTAGTAAGACATGGACCTTGCCCTCAAGGAGGTGACAAAACGGTTGGGACAACTGCCATGTAAACTATTACACAGCGTGGAAACTGCAGTAATAGAGATTTGTGCAAGATGCAGAGGGAAATGCAGTCAGAGGTGGGCAGCGGGGATGGGTAGATGCTGAGGTGCCGGAAAGGCCTTTGGAGGAGGTCAGCAGGCGCGTTTCCGAGGTATAAATAGCTGGGCGCGGGGGAGTGCGGATCCGCAGCGGGAACAGCGTGTACAGCCGTGGCGAGTGTGGCACAGCTTCGCGCGCTCGGAGAATGCCGAGCGCGTCACTCAGCGTTGTGTAATGGGTAGCAGATCAGCACAGGTCACTGCGCCATGTGTGCCGGAAAACGAAATGTACTTGGGAGGCAAAAAGAAGAGGTACCAGGGTTGCACTCGCCGAGAACGGTGGTCGTTCTTTCACAGGGTCCAGGATTTGCGGTGCGCTGGCCAGTGCCCGGGCGCCAGGCGGGGCCCCACCCTCTCCCACGGCGCTCACATTTAAGTGGGGGCTTAACCT